TATATATATATATATATATACCCATATATATATATATATATATATATATATATATATATATATATATTGCCTAGTAGTACTCTACATTTATATATATATATATATATATATATATATATATATATATATATGCTATATATATATATATATATATATATATATATATATATATATATATATATATTGCCTAACTCATTTATGTTTATTATGATTTAAGATCAAAATATCAGTTAACTTGTCCAGACCAGGCACATTTACCCTATTAAACAACTTTTTTCTTTATGTAGTATTGCTAGGGTTACCAGATGAAAACATGTACACCCTGGACCAGCCTTCAAAAAAATCCAGACGTCATAATTTTTTTAATGAAGTAACATTTTTCACATTACCTAGTAACTGATGATGGTTACCAATTTTATTTTATTAATATAACAAGATCAAAAAAATACGTTTATATTTAAACTTTTAAAACCTAAAACTTACAAAGTAAAACAATGAATTTACACTACTGAACTGATCAACATTTTTTTAAATAACTATACAGGGTTGTTCATCACATACGACACGGAATATTGTAGGTAAACGATTAGATTTTTACAAATTGTAAGTTTTGGGTTCGTTGAAGGACTATTAGAGCTACAATTTAAAAATATTTTTACAAGATACAGAGTGTCCCAAATAAATAAAAAATATCAAAGTTGTATTTTTTTAAATAGAACACCCTGTATATTATTGCATTTTTAGTTTCTACGATTAAAATAGAGGTAATTTTGATTAAGGTTTATTACACTTAAACCTTACCGTTTTTGAAATATTTTCAATTTTGTGAAATTGCAGTATAAATTTTAAGGCTTCATTTCTCCGAGGGTATCAGAGTTTTTAATACTAAATATTTACTGAAGTTTATTTATTGATCAGTAATTATGTTGCAATAATAAAAATTTTACTACCTTATACAGAGTGTCTAAATATTTATTTTAAATAATTATTAGCTTTAAACGACAATAACTTGTTTAATTTAAATGGAATACCCTGTATATTTTATGAGAATCAGATGCACAATTTAATAGTCTATCAAATTGTATTATACCATTTTTTACCTATATCTTCAAGCTTCCGTAGAAAATGCATATTCTTGTAATTTCGAACTCATTTATCAATATACCCATGGAATACTGACATTTTAGATTATTTTTAAAGATGTACCAAATTTTTAAAGAGTACAGATACTAATATTGTCAATATAGTTCGTTTATTTCTTTAAAAAATAAAAAAAAATGTTTAAATATTTGTCAAAGAGGAACAATTAATATGATTCCAGTATTCAAACTACATTAATTGACTGTTTGCGTTGATTAATAATAATTGCTCCAAATACTAAAAAACTGAATTATTTATGTGTATTAGACAGTGTTGTAAAAAAACTAACACCTTAAAAATGATATTTCATTTTTTGACAAATGCTTATCTATAACAACAGAGACGTTCATTTTCAAAACTTATTATTATATTGATTTTTCTGATTCCAATCCACATTTATTTAGAATAATTTTTAACGAACACAATTAAGTATGTAATTAATTAGTATTTGAGCGGAAATACTGGGGTATATTTAATTAATGGTATACTCTTTTATAAAGATTTAAATAGTTTTCTTTTTGCATACAAATGGGCTAGTAATATCATCGTTTTACTAAAAACGATAATATTACTAGCCTGTACATTTTGTACATTTGTTGTTTTAAAAACAATTTAAAATGTCAATATTCCATGGGTATATTGATAAATGAGGTCTAAATTATAAGAAAATGCATTTTCTACGAAAACTTGAAGGGATAGGTAAAAAGTGGTATAATACCAATCTGATATACAAATATATTGTGCATCTGATTCTCATTCGATATACAGGGTATTCCATTCAAATTAAACAAGTTATTGCCGTTCAAAGCTAGAAGGTATTTAAAATAACCGGAATTAAAGAAACTTTGTATAAGGCATTATGATGACATTGTTACAACACAATAATGCTGCAATAAATAAACTTCAGTAAACATATTTGGTATTAAAAAACTGCTGATACCCTCGGAGGAAAATGGCAAAACTGCAATAATTAGTACTTCCATTTTACTAAGTGTGATAAGCTGTCAAATCAGAACACGCTTAAGCGTTTAATGAAAGCAAAAATGCAATATTACCTTTATTTTAATCGTAGAAACTAAAATGCAATAATATACAGGGTAAAACCCATTTAAAAAAAATAATAACTCTTTGATTTTTTGTTATTTGGGACACTCTATATCTTGGCAAAATATTTTTAAATTGTAACTTTAACAGTCTCTTCAACGAGGCCAAAACTTTCGAACTGGCGAAATCTAATCGTTTAGCTATAATACTCCGTGTCGTATGTGGTGAACAACCCTGTATACATTTTTTAAAACTACTATATTACTAAACGTTCTCTAACCCAATGTGAGTACATATTATCAAAGCAAAACCTTTGAAGGCGGGTAAAAGGACAATAACTCACAATCTTTAAGTTGTTTAATTTAAATTTTAATGCTTAAAAAAGCAAGGGGGGGCTTCATAACTTTGATGTGAATAATAATTTTAGAATATTACATAGAACAAACAAGATTAGTTTTTTGAACCATGCTGAATCCTTTGAAATACAGAAAGCCTATAATAAAAAAGATTGTTTATTGCTTAACTCTCAAATAGCTTTAGAATAACTTTGAATTTTAAATGATTTAACACAATTTAATTAAAGAATTTTTTCTACAGTGATATAATTTCGTTAATTTGCTTATTTCATAACCTATTACAAATAAAAAAAAAATTTCATTTCACCTTTTGTTCAATTTCTTAATGATACAACCATAGATAAATGAAACAAGTTTAGATTGGAAAGTGCCCATAAGGACAATGTAAACACTATTTGGCGCTATTCTTACAACGGTCGCGACCCAAAACTTTTGAAAATTTCGGAGCGGTTCGGCTTTTTCCGGAATTATATCGCCAAATATTGTTTATTCAAATTTATTATTATTTTCGTTTAATTTTATAAATAGAAATACAGTGTGTTGCAAACAGAAACTTTATTTTTATATAAGGACGCATGTATGTACCTATGAAACATTGGAAACCGACGTTATGCCACGATCCACGATGGTTTTGCAGTTCACAGTTCACAGCACAGCTTTTAAGTTTTTAAAGCCACTTTTTCACAATTATCACCGGTTGGAGTAAATAAAACTTTGAATTGAACTCACAAGATAGCAATAATTACTTTGAAAATAGATGCTATAAACACTTTTCAGAATTAATTTAATGAGAGCGGGTTTAGATTTTGAAAAGATTATTATGATTTTTGAAGATTCTGACTTTGACAAGAGAAAATTATTTCTGTTTTTGTTTGCCGTTGTTCTTAGCGACCGCTATAGCAGCGCCAGATCGCGTATAACGGTCGGGACCCAAAATTTTTACGGGCTTTCCAATCTAAACTTGTTGCATTTATCTATGGATACAACCAATTTTCTAATTCTTTGGCAGTTACCTACTTATTAATAATACAACCTTTTGGTTCCCACACACAGAGGGCGCTTATGGTTTGTTTTATTTTAGAATTTGTTCATATTTTAATATTAAAAAATTGATTTTTTCGTTTAAGAAAATAATCTCCCTATCTGGGTTATCAGTGTTTCTTTTTTCAAAAAAAAAAAAAATAAATATGGATGCAGAGTACTCCCTTTTTTAATTTTAATTTTACATTATCACAGAAACATTCTTTTAAGAGGAACGTCCATTCTCGTCAAAAATTAAAATATAAAATTGAAATAAGATGGTACGGAGATTATGATATAGACATTTATTTGGTATTACAACGAAAGGCTTCCTTCTTAAAGAGTTATACAATTTATAATTACAATGAATGAGTTGTGTAAATGTTAACAACTCTAACTAATTTTATTTCTTCCGAGTGGTTGTGTTCTACTTCCTAGGTGACTTTTGTGTGAGTATGCTTTTATTTTAAAGAACACAAGTTTAATTAAATTAAAATAAAAAAATAATTCTTCTACATATATAAATTAAAATAAATATTAAATTTCTAAAAATTAAACTAAATTAAATATTAATTTTCTACAATATATAAATTTGAAATATAAATTAAAATTCAACATATACTAATTAAAAAATAAAAATAAACATAATTCTTAACTAACATAACTAAAAAATTTATCCTACATAATTGAATATCAGCATATACAGATTGAAATAATTAATTCTGAACTTACATTGTAGAATGTAGAATGTACATTACTAATACAAAAAATAAAAAAATATATAAATAAAAAAATATATCTCTCAAAATATATTTAACTAATGCTTAAGTAAATTTCTTTGAATTGTGCATTGAGGTATGATTTGATTATTGCCTTGTTTTTTCTTTCAATTTATCTAATTATAGTTGATTATACGGCTCCCCTCACCTTATGATTTTAGTCTAGTTGTTTTTAATTTTTTAAATTTAGCATACCATATTGTTATCTGTGATTGAACAATTTTTGTGATAGATATAATTTTTGACTTTGAAAAAAAAAATGTTTGACTTTTTTAACTTGTTGTGATTGTATTTTATAAATCTGACCTCTGTAATTTGCTTTGCTTTGGGCCTGATGATGGGAATAGTTTAAAATTCCCGAAACATGTCGCTGCCCTTGCTTTTTTAAGCATTAAGAGGTGAAATTAAACAACTTAAAGGTTGTGAGTTATTGTCCTTTTACCTACCTTCAAAGGTTTTGCTTTGACTACTATATTATTTTGCAATAACATTAAAATCCGGACGTTTATGAAAAATCCGCCTGGACCCACCCGGACGTAGTAAAAACCCAGACATGTCTGGATTAATCCGGACGTCTGGTAACCCTAGGTATTGCAAAGCATGCTATATACAATAAGGAACTACCTAATTAAACTACAAATATTTAGTAAAATATACTCACAGTTCTAACTTATCATCTGGTAATACTCCATTTATAATTTGTTCTGAAATATTTTCTTGATTACCATGTTCTATACTTATTGATTCATTATTTAGAGCAGTATCTGTTGGGCTGTAATATTAAATTTCACAGTATATTTTCCACAGCCAAATATCAATTTGATAATTATAATTTATTTTACATTAAAATTTCAAACTCCAGATCATTATTGAATAAACATAAGAAATATAGTATGTTAAATTAGAGGTAAGTACCTATATAGTTAAATATATCAATATTGTACCTTGAATTTTTTTGAGCAATAAACTAGAACAGTTGAATCTGATACATACAGTAAGGTACTAAACAAACTACATATATATCTTCCCCTAGGAGATGCAAGACCTTGTCGTTGGTGGGGAAGCTCCTTGTCAGGTGCTGGCAGAATCTCCTCTAGCACTTTGGCTCGGTCCAAGAAGCATCTCACTCATTGTCTTGTCTCTGGCTGTAGTGGCCAAGGAATTGCACCAAGACATTTAAACCAGGCACCTTCTACTGTCTGTGGGCATGTCTCGCGGGTAGAGGGTGGGGGGGGTCTTGGCTTAACCGCCTGGACCAAGAGGAGACAACCTCACCAAAAACTCCTATCCTACGATGGCGGGGGCCAGGTCAAAGGGATGCGTGGCTAGATAGAGGACTAGCCATTACTGGTCTCAACCTTGGGGCATCAGGGGCACCCCTTGTATTTACCCCCTTACTTCTACATGCGGGGCTCTGTAGAAGTGGACTGACATATCCTTAGCGACTCGTGGGAACACTATGAGCAGTAATAAAAATAAAACACCACCACTGCAGGGCTGTGGGGGGAAACCCCTCTAGCGACACTGGGAACAGGGCAATGAAAGTTCCAAGGGGTCAAACACCCCAAAGAAAACTACGGAGAGGTGGCTGACACTTGCGCGGGACCGTCCTGCGCTAGTGGCACTCAAGCTACTACCACCTCCTTTAGCAAGGGTCGGGAGCTTACCTCTAAACCCAACATCCTTTCTTCCTCCCCCCCCCATGCATGGGATATCCCAAAATAAACCTTCACCATGCAAAAAGGGTCTTCCGCTACAATAGCAAGACTCTTTTGAGAAAAATCATTATGCAATGGTACTAGCCCAGGAACCCTAGGTGTATCAGGGACAAATTAGAGGTTTGTCTGGAAAAAAATTCAAAAGGTAGTATATGATAACAGGCAGGAATTTCCCCGAGCCTGTATTCTTATAAGAAAGGACATTAACTACACACATGTGTTTCAGAATTTACAACCCGAGATCTTGTTCCTATCATGGTTCAGCTTAATATCGAGGGATTGTAGTAAAAGCATCGTGATTGCTCTGCTGCTTACTTTCCGGGTGACGAAGGGGAGGCACCGCCTCCGGAAGTACGTGGGGAGCTCGTGCGATTCTGCAGCCAACGGCGACTACCTCTGCTATTGGGATGCGACTCCAATACACACAATGAGGTATGGGGAAGCACTAACACTAACACTAGAAGGTGAGTGTTTGCTTGAATTCCTCTTAGCATGCAATCTTGAAGTTCTCAATGTAGGGAACAGCCCCACGTTTGTGACAAAAAACGTGCGGGCAGAAGTGTTAGATTTAACAATCGGGAGTGCTGGTGTAATCAGTTACGTGAAACAATGGAGGGTCTCAACGGAACCCCTATCAGATATCACAGAATCATCGAGTTCAAATTAGGAGGAATCACACTCCAAACAGAAATCGAAGGAATCCCAAGAAAAAACAGACTGGGACATGTATAACACCAATCTCGTAGACAACCTAAAAACCGTATAGATGCAAGTAGGGCCAGAAACCATCTGCATCTAGAATGGTACACAAGGGAAGTCAGCGGTGCAATATTGGATGCATATGAATCTAGTTGCCCTGCAAACAAAGGCATACAAAAAAGTAACAACAAGCCCTGGTGGAACAAGAAGTTGGCCAAACTTAGATCGGAGGTCCGACGACTCTTTAGTAGAACTAAATCCAGTAGCGAATGGCAGCTCTACAGCGAGAAATTAACTGAGTATAAGAAGGAGATAAGAAGGGCAAAGCGGTCTGACTTTAGATCGCTTTTGCGAAAACATCACTTCTACTCCTGATGCAGCTAGATTACACACAGCTATGGCCAAAGAGTGGATCTATCCCCAACATGGCACTTAAGAAATCTGACAGAAGCTACACGGAGGGAGAGGAAGAGAGCAAATCTCCTACTTTATACACACTTCCAGGTAGCATACCTATTGATACTTATGTAGCTCCCACTGAACCCCACAATCCTTGCAGGGGGAAGATTGGGAAGTGGCCAAACTAGTAATAACAGAACAAAAAGCTGGAAAATGGGCGATCGACACCTTTCAGCCCTATAAAAAGCAACAGCAGGAGGTGGATGGGATCTTTCCTGCCCTTCTAAAGGAGGTCAGCAAATAGCTACTCACCATCTACTAAGCATTACAAGAAGCAGTCTAGCGATGGGATATATACCAACCACATGGAGAAAGAGCAAAAAGTGAATTCATACCCAAAATAGGCAAAACTGACTGGACAAATCCCAAGTCATTTAGGCCTATTAGTCTCACATCGTTCATACTAAAACGCTGGAGAAAGTAGTTGACAACCATATTGGAGAAAATCATCTAAGGTTAAACCACTGCATGATAGTCAGCATGCATATAGAACAGGCAGATCCACAGAAACTGCTCTGTACCAATTAACGGGAGCTAATACAGACAAGTCTGGATAGCAAAAGAAACAACAATTTGTGCCTTCTTGGATATTGCGGGGGGCGTTTGACAATATACCACATAAGGTGGTCAGGCGATCTCTAGAAACAAGAGGGGTGAACAGAACTATTATTCGCTGGTTTTGGGAAATGCTGTCAACACGAACAGCAGAGGCTCAGATGGGCACCAAAACTGTAGCTGTTAAAACAACTGCAAGGAACTCCCACAAGGTGGGAGTAACCTCCCTTTGCTGTGGAGCTTGGTGGTGTGGATGAACTACTAGATGAATTAACTCTAGCGGGAATACACTGCATTGGGTATGCAGATGACATAGTCATGATCGCTCAGGGGGAAACATGAAGGCACCTTGTGTGATATTATCCAAAGAGGACTCCGTATCTTTGGGGAGAGATGGTGTAAGACTGTCAGGCTGAGTATCAACTCAGACAAAACCGCGATAGTGCCATTCACCAGAAGGCAAAGTCTGAAAAACTTGAAAAAGAATCCAACTAGATGGAAGGAAATACTGCCAACACAGGAAGTTAAATACCTGGGAATAACCCTGGACAGTAAACTCCTGTGGAATAGGCATATTAAGAACACTACCAGCAAAGCCATAAAGGCTCTATGATATGCAGAAGACTGGCCGGAAATAGATGGGGCTGCTCCCTAACATTTTGCATGGATGTATACCATGATAGTAAGACCCATGATTACTTATGGAGCAGTTGCCTGGTACACAAAAACTAGAGCAACGGATGGCAAGGCTAAACCTATGCAAAGTCCAGAGATTCAGCATGTGTTTGCATCACAGGAGCCATGAGAACCTGTCCAACAGCAGCAATGGAGGTCATTCTAGATCTAACACCACTGCACATTGTCATTGGTAGATATGCCAATGCGACAATGATTAGAATGGTCACTAACGGGAATTAGTACTGGGAGAATTGTCAGATCAGGGGCTTGAACACCCTCAAAAGGAAATACCACTCCTGCAACTCCCAGTGGACGATATGCCAGAGAATGTACAATCCGACGACAAACATGTCAATGTAGTATTGAGCAATAAGAAGGATTGGAAGAGCGAAACGCTTGCCCAGCAGTTAAAAAGACCATACCATAACTTGGTATACTGATGCTTCAAAACCAATACGGGAACAGGGATCGGAGTGTTTGGGCCGAGAGCTAATTACTCCGATCCAATGGGCACTTACCTAGTATCCTACAGGCAGAAATCTACGCTATCGAGGAGATGCGTACAACTTATCTTAGATAGAACTATCGGAAACAAGAAATAGCCATCTTATCTGATAGTCAAGCAGCGTTAAAGGCGATCAACTCAGTATCAATCAATTCGAAATTGGTCCAAGAATGCATAGAGTAAAGCTGAATAAATTAGGCAAAAGAAAACTAAGTCCTCCTACACACTGGGTGCCTGCTCACCAAGGGATAGAAAGCAATGAAAAAGCAAATAATCTAGCTAGGAAAGGGCTTGAACACTCCACTAACTGACCAAGACTCAGAACCGTTCTGCTTTCCAAGTGGTATTTAACCAACTCAAGGCGGAACTCAAGAACTTGGAAGATTCCATCCGCAACCTGGAATGGAAATCTTGCAATGGTCTAAGACACTCGAAGAAGTTTCTGAGGGCTTATGATCAGAGAAAATCACAGATCTTCCTGGGTCTGAGAGTAAGAACAATCTTCGGATTGTCACGGGGTTTTTAACAGGACACTGTCTCCTCAATGAGAACACCTCAGTAGATTGAAACTAAGAGAAACGGCGAATGCAGATTCTGTGGGAAGATGGTGAAACACCAGTACACCATCACTGAGTGCTGCCGAGACGACAACCATTAGGTGCCATGAATTTTGGTACGACTGATATTGGAGATGGAGAACTACCCTCTATAAAACCGTCCCAGATACTGGCTTTTGTCAAAGCCCTGGGACTGTATGATGAGTTATGATTCAAGAAAGGGGGACACAATGGATCTGTAAGGTCGAAGTGATTAACCCCCCTCCCACTCATTCTAAATTCTAAAATTCTACATATATATAGTAAAATATACTTACAGTTCTAACTTATTATCTGATATTACTCGATCTATAATTTCTTCTGAAACATTTTCTTGTTTAACATGTTCCACACTTGGTGATTCATTATTTAAAGTGGTGTCTGTTATGCTGTAACATTAATTTTACAGTATATAGGTATATTCTACAGTCATATAACATTAAAATTTCAAAATCTAGGCACATCATTATTGAACAAATAGACATAAACAGATAGCAGTAAGAAATACAGTAAGGGTAATTAATGTTTTCTCTGAAAACAATACATCACAATTGCATGAATAAAATTTCTACATCCTATGTAGTGATAATATACTTACGATTTTAGATCTATTACTTCATCTATTTTATCCATAGTTTCTAATAAAAAATATCAGATCGGAATAGGATAGGAATTCAGATCCAAAATGAGAGCAACTAATTATCGTCAGAGTTTGTTTTTTTATTTCTATTAACTATACTAGTTATACAATATAGTTATCATTTTTATATTTTTTATTTAAATACCTATATGTAAAGTAATAGGAATTATTTATAATTTAATAACCACAAAGTCTTCACGACATGCATCAACAAACGAATTTTAAATCACTAAAAATACTAATTTTACATGAATGATGATGATTAATTATCAATTTATTATTTCTATTCATAGTCATAGATAAAAGAAAATAATTTACTATTATATTAAGATTTCTATTTTAATTTTAGATAAATATGAATCACGCATGGTACAAAGAATACAAGGTACAAGGTATGATATTGCGCAGATTCCCGTCGCTACGTCACAGGTGATAACAGGTGCTATTGGTCAACACGCTCCGCGCGCCAGTTCAAATCGTCAAGATATTGTTATAAACCTGTTTTTTTTGTTTATATACCGTCATTGAATTATCGCTAAGCAAGTTACTGTTTCTAAATATTTTCATTATTTTTTCGAGTTTTTTATTCTAAATTCTACTTTGATTTTGTTCTTTTATTTAACACTGCAACCTGGAAATTTAATTATATAGTTATAAATAATCTTTTCACGTCAAGAATTTACGAATAGGCTGGAAGATATTCCAAAATGTGTAAAACGTTTAAAAACGTATTCGAAAACATTGACTCGTTCACAAATTCGTGAAAATAAATTAGTCCAGATGTTTGTAAAAAGGTCTCCCTAGTATTTTGAGAAGTTTCCTCGTATCAATGAATTTTTTGAATACTGTTGTATTCTATAGTTTTTGTTTTTGTAGTATAAAAAAAAGAACTATTTATTCTGTTATTTTTTTAATGTCCGTTATTAATATCAATTTATTGTTAGTACAATACCTCATTTAATATAAATAATATTCTACTTTTTGAAATGTATCGGGCCCTAATTGTACCTAAAAGTAATATATTTTTAGTGATATACTATAGTGTAAACTATTTAATATTTCAGTCACTTAAAGTTAATATTTGCATTGAATAATTGCCTACCATTAAAGCGAGGAAATTTGAGCTATATAATCCTTGATGGGCATATTCTGGGTATGCAAATACTCGCTAAATTTTGGGTGCCGTCAACCGGTGATTTATTCTCTAAAACCAGAAAACATCTACATATAAAGAAGCACAGGTCACTAATTTAATAAACTTCACCCTTGGTATTACTTCCCACTAATTATAATAAACTTCACGCTTATAATTACTTCTATCAAAAATACAATATGTTCCTGCATTGGCACTTTAACTTTGAAGCTATAAGAAACAGGGGAGTTAATATTCTGACTAGAGAAAGTTTATAAAATGCCTTTAAAGTAAAATCTCTTCAGTCTGCGGTAAAATACCTTTATTCTTATTAAATAATTTCAATAATCTATGTTTTATTTGCATGAGCAACCACCTAATAACCTAACTGAAAATCAACTTGCATTCTAGAAAAATATTATTGTTAACCAAAGGTAAATCAGAATTTCACGTTCAATAACGCCAACTTATTTTCATTAAAAAAAATTACCACCAATTTTCGTAACTAGGTGATTCGGCCATATTGAGGAACTTTAAAAAAGAATAGTACTATACAAGGTATGATATTGCGCAGGTTGGTCGCTACGTACAGGTGATAACAGGCGCTGTTGGTCAACACGCTCACTTTGCGCCAGTTCAAATCATTAAAGATATTGTTCTAAACCTGTTTTTTTGTTTATACACCGTCATTTAGTTATCGCTAAACAGGGTTACTGTGGAGCAGTGCGTAAGGGAGTCGGAGCTAGAGAGCAGGGGCCAGGTTCAGTCAGCCGGGACAACTTTTTATTTATTTTTTTTGAATACTGTTGTATTCTATAGTTTATTTTGTAGTATAAAAAAAAGAACTATTTATTCTGTTATTTTTTAATGTCCGTTATTAATATAAATTTATTGTTAATTACAATACCTCATTTAATATAAAATAATATTCTCTACTTTTTGAAATGTATCGGGCCCCTAATTGTACCTAAAAGTAATATATTTTTTAGTGATATATACCATATTGTAAACTATTTAATATTTTCAGTCACTTAAAGTTAATTTGCATTGAAGATAATTGCCTACCATTAAAAATTTGAGCTATATAATCCTTGATGGGCATATTCTGGGTAATACAAATACTTCCTTTAAATTTTGGGTGCAGTTCAGCGATTTATTCATAAAACCAGAAACATCTACATATAAAAAGAAGCACAGATTACTAATTCACAATAGCTTCACCCTTGTGGTAGTATTACTTCCACTGAAGAATTATAATGAAAACTTCGCACTTAGAATTGCGCTTCTATCCACCAATTACAATATGTTCCTGCATTGGCATTTTCTACTTTCGATGGGAAACAATAAACTTCCCAACATTTTCTAAATGATGTAACAATTCCTCTTGTGGTTACTTTTCCCATAGATATCCTCAACTCTGTCCTCATGTGAATTTAGAGGCAATGAAAATGAAAATTATTTACCATAAACATCGCAAACTAAAAACCTAATAAACAATTTTATACCGAATATAGAAATAAATTTAGTATTCTTACCTATCGTCAAATCCATGTTAATAGATAATTATTATTTTTAAATATATTTTTGGAACTGCTGGTTTTAGTAATTATTAAATTAAACGAACTAAAAAAGTCTTTAAAATAAACGTTTCTTAACCATAACCTCAAAAAAATGCAGAGATCTCCTGTCAACTTTCTTTATTTTTTATTTATTCATTATTTTCCTAAGTGACGTCACAGGTGGTATGCGCGAACTGAACGAAATTGGAGCCGCTATCGATCATACCTTGTATTCTTTGTACCATGTTTGGTACCATATTGAATCATTATTTTTAAATATATTTTTTGGAACTACTGGTTTGGTAATTATTAAATTAAACGAACTAAAAAGAAAGTCTTAAAAAATAAAACATTTCTTAACCATAACCTCAAAGTACGAATCTCTCCTGTCGCTTTCTTTATTTTTTATTTATTCATTATTTTCCTAGTGACGTCACAGGTAGGTATGCGCGAACTGAACGAAATTAGACCGCTATCGGTCTTAACCACACTTGTATTCTTTTTGTGCCCATAGATCACGGATATGAATTTTACAGAAGTCAAAGTCGTTGTCATATCCATTAAGTCATATCCACACAGGGTTGCCACAATAAAATATTTGATTGTGCAGAACTTGACCATAAAAATGTGTAGCATTGTGTAGCCACCCATGACCAATAATAGTAAACTATCTAATAAGACTATGGAGAATAAGACTAAGAAAAAGACGTACGTTCACCAAATTTTAAAACATGGTTGACATCAGGCAAAACCAGTACAATTGGTTGTACTAGCACACTTCGTACAGTTGGGCTGCACCCTCATACTCATTCTACAAGGCCGTCCGTCCTTGATCTCGTGTATCTCGTCGTACGATACAATTAAGTCCTTGGCCGTGGTAAAGATGTGGATCCATAGATGTGTGGATCCGGTGACTGACCTTGAAACTTGAAACGAGCTTATCCTCTTTAACTTCTGCTTTAATTCGACCTTTATCGTCGTATCGTTAATCAAACATCGTTTGTAAAATATCGATAACGCCGCCCAACACTAACTAAATACAATATAAAATCAGTGTTGCCAACCGTAGCGGAATTCCGCTACGCATAGCGGAATTTACCGTCAAGAGCGGTGTAGCGGCGGCGGAACCAAATGACAGTAAGACGTAGCGGAATATTTTAATTCTCTTAGACGCGTGTAATGACGTCAACATTCTAAAACAGATTATTTATCAGGTAAAGGTGTGGATCCGGTGGCTGACCTTGAAGCCCATATTTGCTGCTTTTGATCATCGATACTACGCAAGCGCACATCGTCGATGTTGCCAAATTGCAGTTTATTTTCGAATTATTTGCAGTTGAAATTTTTTTTGGCGTGTTATTCAATAATAATACAAATTCTATAATTAATTTTATAATTTCAGATTTATCTTGATATCCAAAATTAAGGTAAGGATAATGAATGATTTGAAATGAAAGTATTATAATATATAAAATTGTAATAATAATAATAACATTTATTTATATATTTACATTAGAATTAAAATTTATCATTTACGGATTTTTTCTTAATGGTTTTAAACTTATTAGAATTATTTTATTTCTTTCAAGTTATTTAATTTCTAGTTATTTACAGGCAACAATATTTTTGATTATATGTATTGATGTTTTGAAGTACTACCATGACGGGTCTTATTATAGAACAATAAACGTCAATCGGAGATAGAGGTAACATTTTACCTATTATATAATGTTACTAATATAATATACTTTGATTATAATTTTATTAATGTTTGTATCATAATTTCTTAAAAATATCAAGTTAGTGGATTTTATCGAAGAGTGTGTTGATAAGACTAAAATAAGCTTTATGTTTTATCTTTTTCTCTTTAGAAGGGAGATGGTTTGTATCGTAGAATACATTACAGTATTTAATATCGTGTACTTTGTTATTCTTTTCTTAATTTACTGTAATTTCTTCTTTCCTATAATGCCAAATCTTGACAATATGCTGAAGGTTGAATTTTGATCTTATTAGTTTTATAAGAATAATAATAATAATAGAAATACAAGACTAAATTAAGACTTAGTTTGTGATTTATATTAAGATCTTTCTTATAATATTTGTTATGTCTTCATCTTAATACTATATTATGCTTGGTCTGGAAAATAAATGTTAAAATATCTTAATTTTGCATATCCTATTATATATAAATATGGTTTATAAATCATATATGCTAAGAAAATCACATAAATTAGGTGTAAGAATAGAGAAATCTTAATGTAGCAGAAAAATTAATGCAATATATGTATAAGCAGAATTAAACAAGGTAACTGTTAATGTTGCTGAAGCTGATTCTATTATTTTTAATTACGGAGGCTAAAAAGGCGTTTTTAAGGCCTCCGTAGTTTAATGGAATGTTAAAAAAAATCTATTATGAACATGACAGCATTTAAAAGTTAAAAAAAAAGAAAAAACTTGGACACATCCCTTTTAATTTCCCGAATTTTTAATAAAGCACTTTTTAAACGTGGCATAATAATCTAGATAGGAATCTAGAGTTTTATTTCTATATAATTTTATTGACTGAAAATACATAATAAGCGTTCAAGTGTTGTGCGAAATATTAAAATAATATACCGCGTACTATGATGGAAAAAAAATAGCGTCAGCAATGTGTGAAATGAAGATCGCTGTCATTTTATGGAAATGTCCTCAATCGTCATTTCCCAGACAACTGGACGCCGTTTTTTCGATCATACGGTATATATTGACAAAAAAACACTGAAAAGCACATATTTGTTTTCTACTGAAAATAATTCCAAAATAACTTGCAATCTGGCAACATCGAAGATGTGCGCATGCGTAGTGTCTGTGACTATATGCAGCAAAAACTCGTTTCAAGGTCAGCCACCGGATCCACACCATTACCATTAGTACCATTTATCATAAGTATTATGAGCAGTAAGAAGTTATGTGTTTTATTATATATTAATCTTATTTATTATTAACTAAAACTCAAATCAACAAGGCAGCGACATCTATCAATCAATCAATCAACCGGCACTGTGGCGTGCCAGGTAAAATGTGTTAGAGAGCGCCGGGAGCGGTAGAGGGCTCTAGGCTCTAGTGCGCTGATCGCTATTTACTAGTTCTCGGTGGTTCCCAAAATCTTTTAAAGTAAACAAAACAAAAGCAATGTAGGTTGTACGTGTATTTAGTATTATAAAAAGGTATGCTAATATGATTTATACATATATACATGCATTCAAGCAGAATACATATCTAAATATGCATAAATACCACAATAAAAAATTACATAATTTGCACTCATTTCAGGGGCGCAATATGTCTGAGTTATCTGATTCTGATATAGGAAAAAGCGGATCATCTACTCCGAAAAAGAAAAGGGCAATGAGGCACGAACTGGCCAGAGATGAAAAGAAAAGCCGAAAACAACTTTTTTCCAGAAAGTGGATGGAAGAAGATATTTTTAAGCGATGGCTACTACCAACTGAAGATCCAGCTAAAGCTAAGTGTAAAGTATGCCAGTTGAATTTAGGGACCAAAAGAAGTGATTTGTTAAGCCATGGGAAAAGTCAGAAACATTTAAAAAATATGAACTTAACGCAAATAACTAGACCAATTACTGAAATATTTCAGTCTTCTAAACAAGATAAAAATCTAATAATAGCAGATATCAGATTTACTTTGTTAGCTGCATCTCATAATTTTAGTTTTAGTTCTATTGACCATGTAACCGACACTTGTAAATTAAGTTTTAGTGATTCGAAAATCGCAAAAAATATGCAATTAAGGCGTACAAAATGCACAAGCATTTTAAAAAACGTACTTGCATCTACAATTAAAGAGGCATTGTGTGGTGAACTGAAGAATAACAGTTTTTCTATTCTTGTAGATGAAAGTACAGACATCAGCAATTATCGGTACCTGTGTATTTTAGTTAGATATATTTATGAAAACAAAATCAAAACCGAATTATTAGACTTAATTCCCATCAAGGCTGATGAGGGGTCAGCAAAAGGTCTCTATTCCCTGTTTAAAAAATGTCTGACTGATTTTAATTTAAGCGTGAATAATATTGTGGGTTATTGCTCTGATAACGCCAGTGTCATGATGGGGAACAAAGAATCATTTAAGACTTATCTCTTAAACGAAAATCACCATATTGTTGTAAATGGATGTGTGTGTCACTCGGCTCATTTAATTGCTGCTGCCGCTAGCCAAGAATTGCCAAGTAATATAGAAGCATTATTGCAAAATATCTCCAATTATTTTTCTAGAAGTCCAAAGAGACAGTCAGTTTTAGAAGAATTTCAACAATTTATGCGGGCAGCTCAACTTAAAATTATAAGCCCCAGCAAAACCAGATGGTTGGCACTATCAAATTGTGTTGAAAGGCTAATTGATCAGTGGGATGTTCTTTTAGAAGTCTTCCGAGTAGCTGCCTTTGAAGATAAAAATCAAGTAGGCAATATGATATTTAATGAAATGCAAAATCCCTATGTCAAAGCTTATCTTCTATTTTTAAAACACGTTCTTCCGATCTTTAATTCATTTAATGCTATGTTTCAGTCTTCCAAAGTCCTTGTAGATAAAATGTATGTAGAGAGTAGAAGATTTGTGAAGATACTATGTGTAAACTTTGTCAAACCCTCCTGTTATACGAGTGAGGTTGAACTTGATCTATTAAATGTATTTGATCCAAATGTGTTGCTTCCGGTGGAAGAAATTAATGTGGGTTTGAATACCATGAATTTACTCAAAGATTGTATCAAAGCTGATAACGAACAATTTAAACTTAAGTGTTTGAAATTTTATCAAGTAGCCGTTGCCCAAGCATTTAAAAGATTGCCTACTAAAGATAAATTTTATAAAAATATTACATTTGTACAACCGCAAAATGCTCTGAATGTAAATCTAAAACATGATATTGATGAAATTTGTAACACATTTAAAAATAAAATAGACCCCGTAAAAGCTATAACTGAATATAATAATATAAAAATATATTTTTCTGAAGAAGAAAAAGAAAGTCTAACATGCGATGATGTAATTACGTTCTGGACAACTTTGTTGGACATGAAAAATTTTAACGATGAGCATTTATTTAGAAATATCAGCATAGTTGCTCTGATCATCCTTACTTTAACTCACGGCAACGCGGACGTGGAAAGAGTGTTTTCAATAATGACTGATGTTAAGTCAAAAAAAAGAAATCGCCTTTCACCTGATACTCTGAGTGATATTCTCAGAGTAAAAATTGATTTAGCAACCAAAAATAAATGCTGCACGAGTTATGCAATTAGCGAAAGCCATTTTCAAAAATTTAATCAGTTCATGTACCAATTTAAAACCAAAAATGAGGCAACTAGGTCCACCGCCCCCAAAGAAAATGTTTGTGACACTGACACGTCTGATTCAGATTAGAGCACGATTAGAGTTAGTTAATTTAAGTGTATGTTTATCTTTTAAAGAGAAAATATATTTTTGATTTATTTTCCATTTTTCCAGATAAGGATTTATTTGTGATTTATTGTTTATATTTATATGTTTACAAAATAAAAGTGCTTATTTTGCTGTAATTTTTTTTATATTGAAAAAAATCAATTGCCAAATGGTATCTATATAAATCATAATTCCAAAATAGACTAGATTTGTAGTGAAATTAGAAATGACACGACCGTAGCGGGGAGTAGCGGAATTTGTGTAGTGACGTAGCGATATTCGTAGTTTTCTGGTTGGCAACACTGTATAAAATGAATATAAATGACAATAATGACAGATCGGTATATTGCTTTTTTATAAATTTATATTTTATTTACATTTTTTTAATAAATTAATGTAAATATTTTACTTCCAGTACAAAAGTTAAAGTTTTCTCAGGTAGGTAATATTTTCTGCACTTATAAATTGTCATTTTACATAATATAGTAATATTACTCCGTAAGGAATTTTAGGAAAGAATGCCTTCAAATGTTCGCCTAAAAGGCTCTGGAAGCTCAAATCGGGCACCACCAGTTACGCCAATGTCCGAACGCCAACAAATGGCATTACTAATGCAGATGACTTCTTCGAGCGAATCGGGATCTCGTAGTCCTAGTTCAGGATCAAGATCGAGAGATCGGAATGAAAGAGGTGAAACCCCATTGCATTTAGCTGCTATTAAGGGGGATGTAGAACAAGTGTGTAGATTGTTAGCGCATCGCGCCGACCCTAATGTAGCTGATTTTGCTGGTAAATTTTCAAATAAAATGTTCATGTATTAATTTTGGTTAGTTCTCGGTTGTAGTTCGTCTTGATATTTTGTTATCTTTGATGTCTTACATAGGTAAAAAAGTTTTTAGTCTTGAATATACCTATTCCAGTTCTGATAAGTTCTTTATTTACATTAGAAATATCTATGGGAGAAGGTGTAATCAATATAATAGACTGGTCCAAATTGTATTCTGGAAACTTTGGCAGAATATTCTACTAATAAAAATAGGCAGATAAAAAAATTCATATAAATTTATATATCCTAAAATGCTTTGTTTTGGAGATACAGGGTGTAGAAATTTATAAAGGAAACTTGATTTTTTCTAAATAATTCCTGAACTAATTTCAATATTTGGATGGACATTGCTGTCTGGATGTTTTTTACATGAAAAATTTGATTTTAAGATATGACTTCTCAATATGACTTCAACTTGTAGGAGGCACATGGTGCGGCAGATGGTAATTCTAGCGGGACAAAACTGATAGAACGGAGGGACAACTACTGATAAGAATAAATAGTAGACATTCCAATTGATATAAAAATGCAACAATTATTTTTTGGTCATATATATTCTTTGTATTTCGATACATTTTTATCAACCAAATTTAGTCGTTTTCTGCTCAGTACGGCAGAGGTCATACGAAACCAAAATATTTACAAGTGCTTATACATTCTATTCCAATACCAAATTATTTTGAAGATTGCCAAAGGCATGTACTATTTTACTGTATGTATATTATATGTTAAAATCCTTTGTGCCTTTGTTCTGCAGATATCAAACTTGCACTTTTTTTTCAAATATCGATATAAAGTCTCAAACATCGCTTCAGAGGTCTTGTCCCGCTAGAATTACCATCCGTTGCCACTGTGGAGTGCCACCTAAATATTCTTTAACTGGTTAGAAGAGTAACAACTTTTCGTCTGCTACCTGTATAAAACTACTAAGTAAAAAAATGTACACTTTCGCTGGTTTTTACGTAAAAAAGGCCTCTTGGTAAAAATTACAATTATATTTGGAATGGAAATAGTTGATACATGTCATTGTTGACAAAAAATAAAAACATATTGACTAGGTAGTTATTTGACTGAAATGATAAATTTGGGAAATTTTTGTATTTTTAAATCAATACTAATTTTTTCTAGTAAAAATTATAATGAAATAGTTAACCTAACCTAACCTAACCTTTGGCACAAAATATTTCAAATTTATGATTTTGAGTCTAATAACTATCTATTGTAGTTACTAGTCACCATGTTAAATTTTTGTTAATGGTGACATGTATTGATTATTTCGAGTCGAAATATCTCGAGAACCATTAGTCGTAGCAATACTTAAAGAAACCTTTTTTTACATAAAAAACGGCGAAAATGTATATTTTTTCACTAAGTAGCTTTATACAAGGACGGACGAAAAGTTATTACTGTATTTACTGTTCAAATTGGTTAAAGAATTTGTAGGTGGCGCCCACTACAAATAAGAGTCATATTAAATAAAATAAATAAAATAATATATTTACGGACCAGCCATTTAAATGTACATACAACAAGAACTATAATTACAACTAGAATAAAATCCATCACAACAGAGACTTTACAATAAATTACTACAAAACCACCGCCTTTACTTTATTCTTGAAACTATTTATATTATCACAGAAGAAGTCGATATCACAATCTTTATCAATAATCTGATTAGCCTCTAGACAAAATCTTGTAAGCGCAGATGACATTCCATAATTAGTTCTGTGAAAAGGTATATGGAACAGACCGAACCCACGCAAAATTCTCCCCGGAACATGCAAAGATAGTTTGCTTAGTAAGCTGGGACAGTCAATCTGTGAGTTGAGAATCTTGAAAAGTGTGCAAATATCTATAAATTTTCTCCGATCTCCCAAACTTGGCAAATTCAGTGAATACATTATTTCCTCAATTGCAATATCTTCCACGGTGATTCCCATCCTAAAGCCCACAAACCTCAAGAATTTTCTCTGTATACGTTCGATCTGCTCCACATAGATCTTATAATATGGACCCCAGACTGGGCAAGCATATTCTAGTATCGATCTCACATAGGCAATATATAAAGTTTTGATACAGTTTATGTCATTAAAATCAGTTAACGTTCTTTTAATAAAACCCAACATCTTTAACGCTTTGTTTATCATGAAGTTAATATGATAATTAAAATTCAGATCCTTAACAAAGTATACACCTAGATCTTTCATCACATCAGTTTTATCTAAAATATCATCTTGAATCTTATAATCATAAAATAAAACATTTTTCTTTCTGTAGAACTGCATTACTTTACACTTTGATATATTCAATGACATCCCATTCAACCTACACCATTCACTCAATCCATTCAAATCCTGTTGCCACTTAAAGCAGTCATCCAGTGACTGAATTACCTTGTAAATTTTGAGATCATCCGCGCATAACAAAAATTTAGAGTGTGTAATAAAGTCGGTTACATCATTAATAAATATATTGAAAAGCAGCGGAGATAAATGAGACCCCCGTGGAACTCCGGACTCGACTAAAACCTCCCTAGAAGTGAACCCTTTAATTTTAACATATTAATTATTAACATCGAAATCAAATTTTTCATACCTATCAAGAAATTCCCAGACACCAATTTTCATCCAAATATCGACGTTAGTTCAGAAATTGAGAAAAAAATCAAAATAAAAATGAAACTTCTTACACCTTTTATCTTTGAAACGAAGCATTTTAGTCATAAATTTATACAAACTTTTTTACTTAATTTTATCAGTAGAATATTCTCAATATAGAAGTTTCCCGAATAGAATTGGGACCACCCTGTATACCCAGCATTCCCTCTGCATACGTATCAGTTTTTCAGTTTCAAATTTTAACTCCAATGTTAAACATGTTGGGAATAGCTAGGCATATTTTAAAAGTATTTTGATCAATATAGAGGGTGATTCAAATCTATTTTCGAACTAAAGTTGTATATGGATACAGGGTTCGGCAATAGTGCGTCGGTCATCTGTAGCTGCTAGAATAAAAAACTTAAGAATGTTGTCTATGTGCAAACCTAAAGTATGTACTAGGATGTATTTCAGGAAGATATTTTAACATCTACAGGATGGCTAAAAAAAGTGTGAGTGGATCGGGATGATTTTTTTTAGCAGAACACCCTGTATATTATGGCATTTTTGGCTTTCCTTCTGATCACTTTACATAATCCAAAGATGTTAGTAAATATGTTTTGATAGTTTTAGAAATATTAATAAATAACACAGGCCGACATGATTTTTGTAACACGAGTCAGTTGCAGAATTTCTTCATAAAAATATGCTTCTAATAACAGAAAAAATACTCCTGAAGCTCCTACACGTACCACTTTTCAGTTGCCTAATTACGCCTCTTTTTTGCAGGTAGTCAATTTTATAGATGTCAGGTATTAAGTCTAGGTAGATTCGTTTACATACAGGTAAATTTTATGATGGGATGATTGAAAGGGACGCATTTTGTGCACTATAATATATTGTGAAAAACATAAGAGAGTTCAGTTTTCAGTTGATTTTCGACGTGAGTTGTTCTATGCGTGTAGATAAATAGTACGAAAATGTCAAGTCAAACGCGCCGCAGTTGTAAAGTGTCTCCTGATCGATTTTGTTACATTTGTGGAGAATTTATGGTGCAATCACAAGCCAGACCATTTTCTGAAAATGTGAAGAAAGCCTACTTCAAGTATTTTGGAGTTTTGGTTGGAGATCAAGACAAGCAGTGGGCTCCTCATGTGTGCTGCGTTACTTGTAGCGTGTCGCTTGTGCAGTGGATGAAAGGGAAGAGGAAAAAAATGCCATTTGCGGTTCCAATGGTATGGCGAGAACCAACTAACCATTTTGACGATTGCTATTTTGCCTGACGAAAACTGAAGGTTTTTCCAAAAAACAAAAGCACAAGATCGAGTATCCCAATTTGCCGTCTGCCATACGACCTGTTCTTCATGGTGCAGATCTCCCAGTGCCGATCGCGCCCTTAGACTGGCAAGGTATTGTTTTTTGGAAGATAAGGAAGATATTGAATCAAACAGCTCTGGAGACCAGTGTACTGATCCTACCTTTACCCCAGAGGGCGGTTCCGACAAGCCACATTTGATTGTTCAAAGCGAGTTGAATGACTTAGTGCGTGACTTGGGGTTATCAAAGCAGCAGTCAGAACTTCTTGGATCCCGGCTTAAGGAATGGAATCTGTTAGCCAATGAAACAAAAATCACCACTTTTAGAAAAAGAAATGCTCCGTTCTCTGCATTCTACAGTATGGAGGATTCGTTGTGTGCATGTACTGATATCGATGGCTTAATGCAGGAACTTTCTATAGAACATTCTCCTGTGAGTGGCGCTTATTCATAGATTCGTCGAAATATAGCCTAAAAGCTGTGTTATTGCATAACGGAAATTTAAAACCCTCTATACCAGTTGCCCATTCAGTGACAATGAAGGAAACTTATGAAAATATGCGCATGCTTTTAGATAGAATCAACTACAACAGGTATAAATGGCAGATATGTGGGGACTTGAAAGTTATAGGAATTTTAGTGGGACTTCAGGGAGGATTTACAAAATATTGCTGTTTTCTTTGTTTGTGGGACAGTCGTGCAGTAAATCATCATTATGTACAGAAAATTTGGCCAGAAAGAAGTGAATTTCAACCGGGTTCCCAAAATGTCAAGTATATCCCTCTTGTAGACCCCAAAGACGTCCTCCTGCCTCCCTCTTCATATCAAACTTGGCCTCATGAAAAACTTCGTGAAAGCTATGAATAAAGAAGGTGATGGATTTAAATACCTAAGGCAAGTCTTTCCCCAGTTGAGTGATGCCAAATTGAAAGAGGGTATTTTTATTGGACCACAAATCAGGAAATTGTTGGACGACACAAATTTCACAGACACGCTTACCAGGCAGGAACTCAGAGCATGGACCTCATTTGTTAGTGTAGTGAGGGGATTTTTGGGGAAACAATAAGGATGCGAACTACGAACAATTGGTTAATGAGCTTTTAGATGCTTATAAATCGCTTGGTGCCCGAATGTCTTTAAAAATTCACTTTCTCCATTCTCATTTGTCATTTTTCCCTGAAAATATGGGTGCTGTCAGTGATGAGCAAGGTGAGAGATTCCATCAAGACATAAGGACAATGGAAATTGTTATCAAGGACGATGGGATCCAGCCATGATGGGTGATTACTGTTGGTTTTTGAAGAAGAGAAGACGCGGTCCCTCATAAAAGGAAAAAGTAAAAGTTTTTGTTTATGTTTTGATCTCGTTTCGATTGTTTTTGTACTTTTTAGGTATAAGTAATGTTTGAGGAGTGTAAACTATAAAATATAATCGGTATATAGGCTTAAGAAGTATTAAATCATGTTTTGAATAGCTATCTTAATATATTGAATATTGTAATATTGAATGATGTTTTATTAATGTAACAAAAAAACCTTACGTGTTACGACTTTTTTTTTGCCACTTTCGTGATTAGATAGGTTCATTCTACCACAATATCCTATTGAGCTTTGTGTTACATCGAAAAATTTTTTTTTTGTCGGCCTGTGTAATTAGAAATATTAATAAATATATATTTTTCAGCCTTTCTTAAAAAAATATTAAAAATACAATAGTGGAGTGCCCAGAGACTTTTACCTCGGAATTCAATTACTGTAAATATATTAATGTGAAACCTTCTGTATTTTGTTTTATAGATAGAATACTAAAATATTTACCCATTTTTTTTCCGTTGCTTTTAATTTTTTATTTTAGTAATTTTAGTAAATTCTTAATTATTTCCTTCTTAATTTTTTTATTTTTTTTAATTCTTTTCCTAAGTAAATTTATTGAAATAAATAAATCTAATGCATAAGCTATACCTATTCGGCTTATATTCTAATAATTTAAATTTTCATTGAAATCGAACTATATAGGGTGGCGCGTCATATACGACGCGGTTTTTGCAAGGAGAACAAAAGGTTGTATTGAAGTGAAATTTTGTGAGCTTATGTAAGTCAATTTAAAGCATTTTCTAAAATTATGTAGGGTCCTACAGGGTGTCCCCAAATAAAGCTATATATCAAAGTTATGTTTTTTGTAACAGAACACTCTATATATTAATTGATTTTTGGATTCTAGTAAAAAATAAAGGTTTGTTTCATTAGAAAAGTATATGACTAAAAACTAAAATGTATAGTTTTTGAAATACATTCACCGGCACGAAAAATGGGTACCTCAAAACTCTGATGTATTTTAAACGTTAATATATTTTGTTTTAATAGGCCGATTTTGATGATCTTTTAAGCAGTATGTAGCCAAATTTATTGACTTTTTAGCATCTTTTTCTAAATTAAAAATGAAACTCCCCATCTGTTAATTATACGAGGGAAAACAAAATGTTGATATTTTGGTGAAAGTTTAAAACACCCTGTGGAATAACAGCAAGAAATTTAAAAATCATTTTATCATCTAGATACATCCTTTCTCGATGGTTTGTTTTTTGGTTCATCTCATTAGCTTTATTTTTATTGGAAATATTCGCTTTTGAAGAAGACACTAACATTTTTTCGTAATTTTTACATTAAGACCATGCTTTTACTTTTGGGCCTAGTCAACATATCTAGTAAGTTCTAGTCCCGAAACAGGCCTTCTTGACATAAGATTTGCTTCATTTAATCTTCTATAGTCCGTTAGTTAATATGTACGTTCCTTAAGTGCAATTCATTATCAATTTGAAAAGCTTGCAAACGGCGTCGGCGATTTCTTAGCGACAAACTTAAATAAGTCAATCGTCTCGATTAGAAGTTCTTATATGAAGGTTCCTGGACATCTAAATTGACATCCTCATGGACGTGGCCATAATTCAAAAACCATTTAGTATACTCTATGGTATTAAGGTATTTTTGAAACCGGAATTTTATAGCAAATTCACTGAACTAAACAAATATAGATATATATTTGACACCCTGTATATCTATAAAAATATTTTTCAAATGTGAACTACCACTAAACACATATTTTGTAAAAGGTTTGGAGTGAAAATCTCAAATAGGAATCCAGATACAGAGCTTTTCCAGAATACGGAGCCATCTTGTATGTATGCATTTGTATATGTGTGTTTATTTAAATACTAAAGTGAAACCAACGAATTTAAATGGGTAAACTTTGTAATATATCTTATTAACAATACAATGCAAAAAGTTTTATAAAAATTCGTTTACAGTAAATGAATTCCGAGGTTTGTATCTCATAAAGGCTTAAAGCACTCCACTATAAGAACTGTCCTGAAATCAAAAGGATTTTAGGTATTTACTATAGATGGTATAGGCTTACTTTGGGCTATAAATGTGGTAAAATCTTAAATCATACAGGATCTTCAAATTTCTGCGCCAAACTTCCTAAAATCTACATATATGAAATGCTAATGTTTATCTGTGTCGTCTCTACTGAAGTAACGACTTGCTCTAGAAAGTTGCTTTTTTACTAAAAGATAGCTAATTGGCTCTTCTAAAAACTGTCGTCGCCGGATTTTTTGTTTTTCGTTTAATTTAAAAAAAAAGTATTTTTTTCCTGATGTCGTGGCGGATGCGCCAGGCTTCAACTAGTATAAAATAATTTTTCTTGTTTTTCTTGTTTATATTACTTTTTTTTATTAGATGGAGACTTAAAAAATGGAACATTTTTTGTATTTAAAATATTTCAGAAGGTTTAACGGTTTCGCAGATATTTGAGGTAATACACTACATATATGGCATTTTCCACAGTAAATTTTTATCAAAGCCACCTAATGATTTTTCTCTGGTATTTTACCGTTGAAAGAGCCATATTTTATAATACCGCGTATATCTGGGAAACCGTTAACAATTTTGAAATACTTTAATACAAAAAAATGTTCATTTTATAAATCTCCATCTAATAAAAAAATAATATAAGGCTGTTCCATTAAAAAAAAACGAAGAATTATTTTATATTTTAAAATGTTTCCGTAGAATTTTGAACATCCTGTATGTTTTAAGGATACGAATTACGATATTTATAATTATGTAAGTACAGACTAACTATAGTAAGTACCTAGCATAGTTTTGGTTTCAGGACACATTTTATATTTATAATTTCTTTTAATTGCTGAAAAATATATTTTTTTCTTTCATTTATTTATATTTTTGAAATTATAAAAGCAAATTTAATAATATTTTAGGACTATGTAAAGTGATCAGAAAGGAAGCCACAAATGCAATAATATACAGGGTGTTCCATTTAAAAAAAATCAGCCCGATCCACTCACACTTTTTTGAGCCATCCTGTAGAAGTTAAAATATTTTCCTCAAATACGTCCTAGTACATACTTTAGGTTTGCCCTTAAACAAAGTTTCCAAGTTTTTTATTCTAGGAGCTACAGATGCTTAGTCGAGAATGTACAGGGTGTACATTCATAATAGAACTCGAAAACATATTTTTCCAGCAAGACGAGGCGCCGCTTCGTCTTGCTGGAACTTGCGAGAACGCTGAAGTTATCAACAAATTTTTGCAATTTCGAGAATAATTGAATAGCTAACCAAGATCTCAGCCGTTAACCATGGAGGCCGCCGAGGCCGACGGACTTAGTGTCTATGGATTTTTATCTTTGCGGAAGAATAAATGTTATTATTTTTAAATTGTCCATATAATCTAGACAAGAATTAGAAGTGCTTAGCGGTTATGCGAGGGTATCTTCAACTACTACTGAGTTAATGAATTCCGCGAGAAATGTTCAAAAACGGTCCCGTCTGTCCATGACAAAAGACGGTCGACTTGTCGAACACCTGTGCAAAATCTCGTGTCTTGGTTTGCTATTATTTTTTATTGTTATTGATATAGTTTAAATGTGTTGATGTTAAATATAGTTTAAATTGTTATAAAATTCTGCATCTCTCATTGCAAATATTATTTTCGTTTTAATTGCTGCTCACAGCTAGAATTTTTTTTACATTACAGTCGGCGCCGTTCAAAGTCTACTTATTCAAAGTGGGCGAATTTTTAAAGAATCTATATCTCGAAAAGGAATTGAGCAAAATATCAAGTATGCTATATTTTTGAAAAGGTAATTTTAAATTCTTTTCAATAAATTACAAATATATAGGGTGTTCCATATAAAAAAATCAAATTTTATGTTGATAATTCTTAAATTATTAATTTAAAAAAAAATTACTTAAACCATTAAATTCCACGTAAAAAGGTGCTTTGGAAATGTTTTCATAAAAATACAACATTTTCCATAGCAAAAAAGTTACAGCCATTTGTTGAAAATGCACATTTTTGAAAAACACCCCGTAACTCCGAAACGGTAACAGATTATTGATGTGTGGTTTTTACCATCATGTTTTTGATAAAATTTGAGTTCCAGACACCGATATTAGTTTTCGTATATTCTCCTATAGAAAAGGGTGTTTCTCTTTAAAAAATGGTTATACATATTTCAAAATCCACTCTCCACTCGGTATAGAATATAACAGTATGGTACTTTTGGAATGGAAAATTCAGTGTGCCAAAGATATACTCAATCACAAAGTATAATAATTCATTTAAAAATGTATAACTTTAGTTTAAGAATATATGTGAATCTTATTGCGTACCTAGGTATACAACAAAAGTACTTTGAAAATGTGCAAAACCATTGTTCGCATATTTTATAAAAAGATTGGAGTCAAATTTTAAAACAGAATCCAGATATAGCTTGTTCAGAATGCTAGGTCATCTTATAATATAAATAGTTTTCTTTTTACCGTAGTGTTTTATTTTTTTATAGGTTGGACACCATTACATGAAGCTTGTAATCATGGTTGGTATGATGTAGCCTTTCGATTAGTTCATGCAGGAGCAAATGTCAATGCTAAAGGTATGTAATTATTTTTTGTAATTAATAACTTGTTATCTTATAAAAGTGTTTGCTTATAGGGTTAGATAATGACACTCCTTTACATGATGCTGTAATTAATGGCCACCTAAAACTAATTAAACTACTGGTAGAAAAGGGTGCAGATATTAACGCAAAGAATTCTAAGGGCAAGACTCCGTTGGATATTGCATCGGCATCTGTGCAGCCTTATTTACTGAATCACAACTTGCCTTTGCCCGGTAAGTGTTTTAATCAATTTACTTACACATATAAATTACAATAATAAACTTTAACTTTAAGCTGCTAAATGTATTCGATTGATTGGTATAATGCTAGGTTGCAGTTCATAGTATCTTTACGAAAAAAGTATTTTTATGAAATATAGTAGTGTTGGGAAAAATCGGATGGGGGCTCGTTATTTATTGTTTATTTGTCGGCGGTCGGTCATTGAGATAAAAAATATATTTTGTTTTACTTTTTCATAGCGTACTTTCACCGAAAATAAACTGTAGTATCTAATAAATCGTAGTAGCATTGTGTTATTGTGAATATTTTAAGTTTTTCTGCGACATAATATCCAGTTTTAAAATTGAATTTACCAACTGTATTGTTTGGGCACAGCTTAACTAATAATCGAAAAAAAATTGTTAATGATGATTGTTTCGGATTTTCAACCTCTTTCTCTTGTGAACCCTCATAATAGAAAAATATTAAGTAATAAAATTTTACTTAAGGCCGAGCTTAAGGCTTACAACGAGTCAGCTGTCGCTTTAAAAACTGTTTAAAAAAATGAAATAAAATATACAGCAATACAGTGAAAGCTCTCATAAACGGACACTGACGGTTCCAGTAATTTTTTCCGCTTATGAGAGATGTCAGCTTAAAGGATAGGACTAAGAAATAATATATGTAATATAAAATTACAAATAAATATGTATGTACTAATGATTGCATTTACATATGTACATACATGCATACATTACGACGTCCTATGACTCAATATGATTTATATAATAGTAATAAGGAAAAAAAAAAGATAATACGATATAGTTTTTAAAGAATTTAATTTATATAAATCTTAAAATTACGTGTACATAAGCATAATATGTTAAAAATATTCAAAGTATATAATATTTAAAATATTATTTGGGGTTTTTGAAAAAAGTCTAAAATGTGTGTCTGGCGGAATCTCTCCATTTTTTGGAATGTTTTGGCTTCTATGTTTCACAAACCACTCAAAACATTTTTTGTCTATAATAAAACCTTCTTTTTCCGAAAGTCTTTTTTTAATTTGTATTAATTCCAGATTGCCATTTAGTTCTGGTATCTTCCTTATTTTTGGCTATTTCAGCAGCTTGCGTTTTTCCAATATTAAACCTTTTTGCTAAATTACTAACTGAAACTGTTTCTTTATCTAAAACATTAAAAATTTCCATCTTTTTCTTAAAGGAAAGCATTCTTTTTTTTCGGTGACATTTTAACAAAATAATTACTATACCAATAACAGTGCTGTCTGAACTAACGACAAAATATCAGCACAAACGCGATGCATACTAGATAGATGAATAATCTAATATAAAACGGGGAATGGATGCGACTAAAAATCTCGTTCCGCGTCCGCTTATAGGAGATTTTTAGTCGCATAGCGGAATAATCTAGTGTCCGCGTCCATTTAAAAGAGCGTCCGCTTATCGGATAGCATTTAACATTGAAAATCACATGCTGAAATTCGGTTCCAGGAAACTTTGCCGGTTAAGGGAGATGTCCGCTTATTGGAGCTGTCCGCAAGGAGAGCTTTCACTGTATTGTTATTGTTCTTGTTGGCAAATTCCGCAAATCATTCACTTTATATCTACGTTTAATCACACTAAATTTCGATTAAACTTTCATCAGAATATAGTCTCCCAACGTACTGAACGTACAACTACAAGCAAAGGTTTTTTACAAGAAAACGCGTAAATTGAAAATTAAAAATGCAAATAAAGCAAAATCTCCAAAGCCTTAATCCAAATAAACAACTGTGGTTTTGTCAAATGGAATTTTAAAAGTCGAAAACTGACGTATTATGAATTATTACACAGAAAAAACAACATTTTATTATTATATCAATGGTTAAAAACTATAAATCTTAAAATATAAAGTATGGAGAAAAAATCTTTATAATTTAAATAAATATTATAATTAATATATCCCATCTAAACATTTAAACAAAACAAAAATAAGTAATGTATTTCTGTTCAAAAATGCCAGGTTACTACTCTGAAAACCGACTATTATTGTGAGCGATATGCGAGCAAGTGATTAAACGGTTATCCCACGGTTATCCTCTGTCCTCTATACATAATAATAATAGGTATTGATAATTTCGATTCCAAATATCCCGAGGACCATTAACGATTTTTACCAAGAGACCTTTTTTACGCAAAAAATGTAGATGTATATTTTTAACTCTGTAACTTTACTAACTGTAGTTTTATACAGTTTTATATAAGGACGAAAAGTTATTACTATTCAAACCAGTTAAAACATATGTAGGTGGCGCCCTCTACAAGTAGGAGTCATATTGACATCAAAATCAAATTTCTCAAGTCAAAAAACTCCCAGATAAAATCATTTTCATCCAAATATTGACGTTACTTTATAAATTATTTGGAAAAAATCGAAATAAAAATGAAACTTCTACACCCTGTATCTCCGAAACTAAGTATTTCATGACATATACATTTATACGAACTTTTTTACTTATTTTTATCTGCAGAATATGCTGCCGAAGTTTCCGGAACACAGTTCGGACCACCCTGTGTATAAAAAGGTAGGACTTTTTTACGTAAAACAGGTGCCAGGTGCTCTTCGTTTAGTTCGAAAGGGTGAACGGTTTTCAAGATATTTTCGTTTAAAGATTACGATGCATCGATTTTAGTATGAGTGAAATGATAAAATGTTAAGAAATTTTAAATAAATTAATCTCCTGATTTCGCTAATGCTAAAATCGATACATCGGAACCTTTAAACGCAAATATCTTGAAAACCGTTCACTGTTTCGAACTAAACGAAGATTGGCTTTTTTACATAAAAAAAAGTCCTAGCTTTAATTTTCATTTATTGAAATTACTGTATCTACAAGGATAAAAGAAGTACCACCAATAGTACTTTCCACCCTAATGGAAAGTACCCTTTCAGTGCTATTACGGAGTTTTTTTATAATCACCATTCGCTTTGGCATTAAAAGGTGTGTAAGAGTACCAAATTTCAGGTAAAACGGTTTAAATTTAAAAACGTCCAAAAACTTTACAAATATTTTGGAAAAGAAATTATATTATTTCTTTTAAGTATGAAATAAAATGCCGCTGGCACTGGTGGTAGTTTGACGACTGATTGATTCGTATGACGTTAGGTGACATCAGATTATGACGTGCACGCAAAGATCCATTGATCCAACTGTATGTGACATAAATTGGGATTGACTGACGTATTCATTTTTTTTCGGTCACTTCCGGTTTCACCGGAAATGACTACAACTTTTGATTTTTAAATGGCACCCTCGGCATTTTTTACTTTATTCGATAGAAAATGACACTCCGAATCGAATGACATATCATATGTCAATTTTTGACATAGTCACTCAAAAACAAATTTTATTTTAAATTTCAATCTAGAGTCCCACGGCTGTGTTAAAAACACTATTGTTACTCAAGGAGCTTTGGAGAAATAGATTTGATCGTCTAATTTTTTTAGCGTCTTGTCCTGGCCGGTTAAAAGATGCCCAAATCGTATTTTTATATCATATCTCAATTTTTTCAAATGGAACGAGGGTGGCTCATTAGCATATTTGGGAAAAGCATTTTTTTAAGAATAATCTGATACCACACACTTGGTATTTTGAGTCAAATTGTCGTTATGAACCGCATGTTACAATTTCAAATAAACCATATGCCAAAATGTATATGATATACAGTGTGTCCCAGGCTGAGCGTGCATTAGAAGTTTCTAGAGAACCACAATATCTAGATCGGAGATTTTTTGCACATCATTGTTTTTCAATGAGATCTATGGATTAAAAATATTTTCAATATGGCGGCACTTCCGGAAATACCGGAAGTTGACAGCAACTTTCTTATTTTAAATGGGTACCCCCATTTTTTATTATGTACTTAAATTCTCTGTAAAATTCTATGAATATTGATGTTAAACACTCTATATCTAACATTAACCGTTTCTGAGAAAAAAATTATTTAAAATTTTTGGACGAAAAAAACTACCTGTCAAGAAAATTTGTATAGCCTAAAAGTCAAATTTAGTGATTACCACAGCCACTGGACATAAAGAGAAGGCATGTGGCTATCTATTTCAAAAATTAACTTGTTCAAATGTCATATAATAATGGCGGTAGCTGTCATGGAATTGAGTGATTAAAAAATAAATCATTTTTTTCAAATGGAAACCCAGTTTTTTTATTCCACTAATGAAACGGTTTTTCAATTTGTTACTTTTTAAATATACATGTTCCTATACCTTAAATAAATCGTTTTTAAGTTATTTAAGATTGAGTTAGAAAACGTATATTTTTCTTGATTTTATCTAGCTTCCTTTGACATTAAGTGTCAAACGGTCAGACAATTTATTTCCATCTGTCAGGAAACGAATTATTTGAATTTCCTATAGTACAAATACTGCTTAAGAGTTTAAAGTGTATTTATAAAAATATATCTCGTATTTTCGCTCTTTAGTGATATCTAATAGCTGATAAAAAATGGAGGCACCCATTTAAAATAAGAAAGTTGCTGTCAACTTCCGGTATTTCCGGAAGTGCCGCCATATTGAAAATATTTTTAATCGATAGATCTCGTTGTGAAACTATGATGTGCAAAAAATCTCCGAGCTAGATGTTGTAGTTCTATAAAAACTTCTAATGCACGCTCAGCCTTGGACACCCTGTATATGATATGTCATTTGATTCAGAGTGTCATTTTCTATCGAATAAAGTAAAAAATTCCGAGGGTGCCATTTAAAAATCAAAAGTTGTAGTCATTTCCGGTGAAACCGGAAGTGACCGAAAACAATTGAATACGCCAATCAATCCCAATTTATGTCATATACTAACATACCAAATATCGTTGTTTTATCTGAAAAAATAAAAAAGTTATAGGGGGTGAGCCACTTTTGAGACGCACCCGGTATACAGGGTGTTTTTTGAAATTTTTGAAATTGTGTTACCTGTGCATTGCCCCCATATTCTGAA